CAGGAGCAATATGAATTGTAGTACTTCAGAAGTGATTTATTTGATAACCTGCCCCTGTTCAAAGCAATATATTGGACGCACGAAAAGAGCTTTAAAAATACGAATTGCGGAACACATCAGGAACATCAAAAAAGGACTATTAACTCACAATCTTTCCAAACATTTTAAAGAAGTACATGGGGGAGACCCCACTGGACTTATTTTTACAGCTATAGAGAAGGTGAATGTTCATTGGAGGGGTGGTAGTATTGACAAAATTTTAGATCAAACTGAGGCCAGATGGATCTTTCAATTGGACACTCTAATTCCTAAAGGACTTAATGTTGACTTTGAACTTCATGCTTTTTTATAAATATACTCTTTTATAGGATATATTTATTATTACTATGTATTTTTTTTTACATATATATATACTCACTTCTAGCTTCACTTATTTAATCTCTTTCATTACATCTCCTATTTGAAATATTTCTGACTATATTATTTTATATATTATTTCTCTCACCACTACACATTGTATACAGATGTTACCACTTATATATTTCACATATATGGTGCTTGGTCACTTTGTAATTGTATCATCCCTATTCTAATGAAGGTTCCCCATATGTATTAGAAATGGTTTCTATCCTTTTACACTACTTTGGCACTCCCTTTCACACATACTTAATCTATCATTGGGAGTTATTTCACATATCACATATTTGAACACCACATGGAATCTGTTATTATATTTTCTTTGTATCCTTTTATGTATTATTCATCATTCTATTTCTTACCATATACTTTTCATTATATATTTTTCAATAGTACCTCAAGCTATCAGATCACCATTTTTATTATTTACTTACTTCAGGCTACACAAATGTTGCTATATTATAGATCTGTCAGTTCATATGTATTGATGTATATGTACTTAAATATCATCAAGTAATTATGGTGATTATTATACTAATATATTTTTTATACATCTGTAATGATGATGATGCCTACAGTACATATTGTTTGTTACTTATTAATATTATTTTTTTTATATAATTGTTTTTATCTCTGTTGTTATCTTAATGCTCCATATTGTAATATTTTGTATATACTTGCAATACTGACAATGTATATATGTCATATCTATTTATTATTGTTTTTTACTTTGAGGCTCTACACTAATTAGCACAATGTTTATTTAAGCATGGCCGCACCATCAGTCTGCAATATGTCTCTGAAGAAGTGAGGCTATTTCCTCACGAAACGCGTTAGACCGAAGCATCTCTTTGAACTGTGCTAGTAACCAGCATTACAAGAAGCACTTGCTCAGGACCCTTGGTGAACCTGTGGACTTAGACTATTCACTGTGCACACCCCCCGGAGTGAGGTCCGTGTTGGGACGCACACATCGATCTGCATGCTGTCCTCAACCGGCAGACAGACCACAGAGCACCAGAGCAACAGCTGCCAAGTCAATCCACATCCATCCTGGCTGATTCCGAGGGTCTGTGAATATTTGTGGACTTTATTGGACTGGTAACATATATTTGCACATGAATTGACCATTATTTTTGATTAATTCATATTTTATCTATATTTATTTTTAATAAACTGGACTTTGCATTTCTATCCAGTTTCTCTCTTTCTACATTGTATACACGCTACATTATTTATTTTAGCACACAGTTCCTCATACTGTAGTGCTTGTTTTGCAACTTTGTCTATACAAAGCATATTATTTAGGTGCAAGTATTAACTATCTGTTATCCTGTATCTTTTCAGGGACAGTATTTTACTGCACCTTGCACTGTTAGGAGCATTTATTTTTATTTTTTATTTTATTTTAATCATTTATTTTTTCTTATTTGATTCATCCTCTGTTTTTATATATCACATATGATTAAGTTTTAAAATCTATCAGTTCCATTTTAGAGTCCTACTTTGTATATATTTTTCTTAAAGGCATAGTACCCATTTTTTAGTCCCCTTTTTTTAGTCACATTTTTATTGGTATATCCTTGAAGTATTTTATACAGATTTTATCTAGCATTTCTTATCCAGATTTTTGAGTCATATACTTATTAGCTCCTAGGTCTTTTGCATTTTTTAGTGTTTTTCCACTTTTTAGTGCTTTTTCTTTAAAATAATATATATATCTACATACATAAATATATACGTATATATCACTATATATATATACCTATATATAAATAAAAATATTTAAAAAAAAAAAAATATATATATATATACACATATAGATTCACATACGTATATATAAATACATATATTAATTCTACATATATATTTATGTAATATTTTTACATAATTAGGTATCTTAATTAATTACAATTAGCGGGACCTGCCTGACAACCCATGCCGAAAGTAAAGGGAATTTAATTTGCTAGCACTATATTTAGCCATATAACTTTTCAAGACACCATAAAACCTGTACACAGGGGGTACTGTTCTACTCGGGAGACTTCGCTGAACACAAATATTAGTGTATCAAAACAGTAAAGTGTATTACAACGATGATATCACCAGTAAAAGTGACGTTTTTTGCCTTTTTCATGCACAAACAGCACTTACACGGACAATATTATTGCTGTGATACTTTTTACTGTTTTGAAACACAAATATTTGTGTTCAGCGAAGTCTCCCAAGTACAACAGTACCCCTCATGTACAGGTTTTATGGTGTTTTCAAAAGTTACAGCGTCAAATATAAGGCTTGTGTTTCATTTTTTTCACATTAAAATTCGCCAGATTGGTTATGGTGCCTTTGAGACCCTATGGTAGCCCAAGAATGAAAATTACCCCTATGATGGCATACCATTTGCAATAGTAGACAACCCAAGGTATTACAAATGGGGTATGTCCAGTCCTTTTTAGTAGCCACTTAGTCACAAACACTGGCCAAAATTGGCGTTTTTTGCATTTTCCACACAAACAAATACTAACGCTAACTTTGGCCAGTGTTTGTGGCCAAATGGCTACTAAAAAAGACTGGACATACCCCATTTGCAATACCTTGGGTTGTTTACTATTGCAAATGGTATGCCATTATGAGTGTAAATTTCATTCCTGGGCTACTATAAAGTCCCAAAGGCAACGTAACCAATCTGGCGAATTTCAATTTCAAATGCAACGTGCTATATTTGACCCTGTAACTTCCCAAAACGCCATAAATAGATTTGTGAACAGTGAATTCACTAACGTTCAGTTGTAACAGTGCGGAGATTACATTATTAGATGCTTTAGAGAAACCATCAGGTTCTGGGGATGTAGCATTTTTCAGCCATTTTATTGTATTTTGTATCTCTTTAGTGAAAATAGTTTTTTTCAAATATTCTAAATTCTTTAAATTCATTTTAGGTAGATTGCATTTTTTTAAGAATTTGTTTAATTTATTTTGTTTTAAAGGGGCATAAATTCTCAGGATGAAAATATAATTTTCCCTCTTTATAAATCGCTGGTGGGGGCGTGGTCTGACCGTCGATGGGACTAGACGTGTCTCACTAGAGCTCCCGCCGAAACGCGCCCTAAAAGCCAACAAAAGCGACCTAATTACCCACTACCTCACCCAAGAAGTCCCCCATAATGGAGAAAAGGCTCCCCAAAAAACAGCAGAAGAGGGGTACCGACCCCGGCAGCACAGTTCTGGACCTCATGTTGGCGCAGAAACAAGGCCGCTTGGGGACCCAAGATGGCGCCGGCACTACGACCCCACAGGCTTCGCCTCGTGCAGAGCGGGAAACATCCCCTGATGACCGAGACACGGTCCTGGCAAAGCTGGCCGAGATGAGGACCTTCCTCGCGGGGGAAATAGCTAAATCCACGGCAGTACTCCAGGCCGAGATTGGGGCCCTGGGGGAGCGCACCGCTAAACTTGAGGACCGCATGGAGGCCTCGGTACAGGCCCACAATGCAGTAGTAGACAGGGCAAACAACCTAACAGCCCAAATGGTAAACATGGATCTTGCTTATGAAGACCTGGCTAACCGGTCCAGGAGAAACAATATTCGCCTGAGAGGCCTGCCTGAGAACCCGGACGAGGACCTACAGGGGCTTATATTCACCATACTGAAGCCTCTGCTCCCGAATGTACCGGAGGAACACTGGCACATAGAGAGGGCACACAGGGCCTTACGGAGTCAGAGGACCGACACTAATGCCCTGCGGGATGTCATAATCTGCTTCCTATACCACCGCACTAAAGAAGCACTAATGAAGAAGAGCCGTGAGGCCCCCATTCGGTACTCCGGTAAGATCAGGGCCGTCTTTAACGCGGGGCAAACGGGGCAGCTGCCCCGGGCCCAGTTGCTCCTGGGGGCCCAGAGCAGCTGCTCTGTGGGCCCCGCGATTTGCACAGCCCCTTTGGACCGGGAGGCTCCCCGGGTGGCCCATGCACTAAGGGCCACCCGGGGAGCATGTGTCAGCAGGGGCCCGGTCGGGCGCTGTGGCGCTTAAACAGCGCGACCGGGCCCCTCTTCCGGTTCTGCAGCCGGCTGGGAGGAAGTGACGTCACTTCCTCCCACCGGAGATAGCCGCGTGGGAGGAGGAAGGCAGGGAGGAGGGGAGTTCCAGAGGAGAACTCCCATCTGCCTCAGCCTGCCACTGGACCAGGGAAACCACCCTCCAGGAAAAGGTAAGAACCTGGAGGGTGGCTAAATGTATGTCAGTAGGTCTGTCTGTGTGTGTGTCAGTATGTCTGTGTGTATGCCAGTATGTCTGTGTGTGTGTGTGTGTGTCAGTATGTCTGTGTGTATGCCAGTATGTCTCTGTGTGTGTGTCAGTATTTCTGCGTGTGTGTGTCAGTATGTCTGTGTGTATGCCAGTATGTCTGTGTGCGTATGCCAGTATGTCTGTGTGTGTGTGTCAGTATGTCTGTGTGTATGCCAGTATGTCTGTGTGTGTGTGTCAGTATGTCTGTGTGTATGCCAGTATGTGTGTGTGTGTGTCAGTATGTCTGTGTGTGTATATGTCTGTGTGTGTGTGTGTCAGTATGTCTGTGTGTATGCCAGTATGTCTGTGTGTGTGTGTGTATGTAGGTATGTCTCTGTGTGTGTGTGTGTGTACGTGTGGGTCAGTATGTCTGCCAGGATATATTTGTGTGTCAGTGTATGTGTGTGTCAGTATGTATCTGTGAATGTTTTAATGTCTGTCTGTGTGTATGTGCCAGTACATCTGTCTGTGTGTATGTCAGCATGTCTGTGTGTGTGTGTCAGTATGTCTGTGTGTGTATGTAAGTATGTCTGTGTGTGTCTGTTTGTGTATGTAAGTATGTCTGTGTGTGTATGTGTGTGTCAGTCAGTATGTCTGTCAGTGTATGTGTGTGCATGTATGTATGTCTGTGTGTGTGTGTGTGTGTGTCAGTATGTCTGCCAGGATATATTTGTATGTCAGTGTATGTGTGTGTCAGTATATATCTGTGAATGTTTAATGTCTGTCTGTATCAGCCATTACGTCTGTCTGTGTATATGTCAGTATGCCTGTGTGTATATGTCAGTATGCCTGTGTGTGTGTGTCAATGTGTCTGTCAGTGTATGTGTCTATGTGTTTTAGTATATCTGTCAGTGTATGCGTTTGTGTGTGTGTCAGTATATCTGTTAATGTATGTGTCTGTGTATGTATGTATGTCTGTGTGTGTGTCAGTATGTCTGCCAGTATATATTTGTGTGTAGTGACTGTGTGTGTCAGTATGTATCTGTGAATGTTTTAATGTCTGTCTGTGTGTGTATGTGCCAGTACGTCTGTCAGTGTGATTGTGGGTTGGACGTAATTGGGGGGTGAGGCAGTGGCAGGGACAGGGCCCAAGAAAATGCATTGCCCAGGGTCCTAATCATATTAAAGACGGCCCTGGGTAAGATCATATCCCTTTATCAAGACCTAGCCCCATCCACGTTACAACGGAGGAGAGACTGGCGCCCCATCACTGAAGCCCTAAGGAATGCCGGTATCAAATACGCCTGGGGATTCCCCTTCAAGTTACTGGTGTTCAGAGGAGACCGGGCACACGTCCTCACACCGGGAGGAGACCCCCACCGACTGCTCAGTGGCCTTGGCGTACAACCGCCTCCTGACCTCCCCAGCGTGGCGATGCACCCGGAGGATCTTCCACAGCAACACTCAGAGTGGCGGGGAACGGGACCGAGAGGACGCCTATAGATGCTGTCGGTAACGTAGTGGTTGGCCCTGGGGTCCCCCTCATGTTCACGACCTGGCTGGCGCGGGGCCTGGGGGGGGGGTGGATGCGCCCTCCCGTAATATTGGGGTGGGGGATGGGATGCGGGGCTAAGCCGCTGTTTGGGGACCTTGATATCTCTGACTTTACCCCCTCACCGGTTTTCCTATGGCTCATAGCTCGGGGGTCTACCCCCCCCCCGGTACATGGGCTCGGATGGGCACAGCCGCCCTGTCATACTGACTTTTGGTTGGGACGCAAAAGATCTCCTCGGGCTACACTTTTACTCGGATTGGGAGGGAAAAGGGTGGTGCACATAATGGACCCCCCCTACTGGGACACCTGGGACTAACGACTGGAACGACTCCCTTAGCGCAGAACTTCCGACGAGCGAGGACCCTGGAGAACCACCGCAGACCTGTTTAAATATTATACTGACTGGTGTTGCCCTTAAAAAGAGACTGGAACCCCTGTTCCCCCCCCCTAGGGGGCGCCATTATCACCTGGCCGCAGTCGGAGGGTCTCCCTGGGGCCCCCCGGGTCCCTCAGCCCCCTGGTCTGGTCGCAGCGCCGTGACATCGGTGGCACCGGGCGGGGGGGTGGATTGCCTGCGCCCCCGGGAGGAGCAGGGACGGATCGTAATGGCTGGTCGCGAAAGGTACACTACAAAAAAAAAAAAAAAAATTATAATGGTGATAACTGTTCTTACTAAAATAGGCTACATAAAAAAAAAAAAAAAGCGACCAGGCAAGAAACAACTTACAATGTACACTAGGATATTTTGTGGAATGTGACCCACAGTGACGCATGGGAGAGGGGGGATAACTACGCCTTGAAAGGCTTTCGGGAAACCCACAATAATAACTACTACCATGTCTCCAGGTAGCAAAAGGGGGCTAACCAACAGCAGGATAGGAGGAAGTTCGGAATGCAGGGAAACCTGATGGAAAGCGACACACTTCTATAACTGGGGACATCCAGTCTTCCCCAACTAACTGTGAAAGTGACCGATACACAGCCACCACACACACCCATATAACAGGATCATCGGTATGGGGGGATGACAGGGGTAAGCACAGGTAAAGGGAGCACGAGACAACAAGCACAAGACCATTTGTACAACATTACTTATACAGAAAAAAAAACAAAAAACACATAAACACAGGCAGCACCCACTGACTAAGCCCCCAATCACGACACACACTGTACCAGGCCCAGAACATAACACTCCAAGTTGTAAGCCCCCCCGACCGACGCCAGGACACTGAATAGCCGAGACCCATGGGGTGATGGGGACCCCGTGGCCGGGCAGGTCAAGGGTACCCTTAATGTGTTCTTGAAGAAGGGGTATCACAGTACGACAGTTGATGTATGTTATTTTTAATTGTATTTTTAATTGTATTTTGCATGTTCTCTCCTACATCCCACCCTAAACGTCCTAATCATACCACAACTAGAAAGGCGGGGAGGACCACCAGTCTACACATTCAGGAGGTCCCCGGATGGGGGGCTGGCCGGACCTCTGTGGCCCTCCTCTGGACCGGGAGTGGGAGTTGTGGAGATCCCCCCTGGGTGAAATGGGAGGGACCAGTTACCGGTCTGAGGGGAGGACCTGCGGAGGGTCCTCTACACGCACCCTATGGGCCTGACGGCCTACTATAACTTAGAAACCCAGATTAACCCACCTCCCCTATTATGCACCTTCACCTGGAGGTAGAGACACCCTGCAGAGGGGACACATCTCGCAGACACGCGCCAAACTGCACGCCCACCGGGACACGGGGGGACAAGTTGGGGGAAAGGCTTTCGGGAAACCCACAAGCAAAGGAGCGAAGTGAGCCACAAGGGGGACACCACCACAGTAATCACTGGAGGGAGGAGATGCAACAGGTAGGGAATAGCTAGCAAAGGCGTTTAGAGGTCTCAGTAGATTATATAGGGCGCGTGGGAGACGGGGCTTTGGGCATCCTCAGTATCCTCCGCGCGTTGATCGTGAAGAGGTGAAAGGTACTCGCAAACCACTACTCTCTGGCGTGTGATAAGACCAGAGATTTCTCCGCACCGGACGGAATCCGGATGCATCTTCTACTTTCCTTTTTTCTTTTCTCTTCATCTCCCCCTCTTACCCATCTGCCCTCCCTAGCTATACCCCTCCCTCCTTGGACCTTGGGGGGGACGGACGAGTTGATGTTCACAAAAGGAAGTCCTCTTGCTCGAATAGCAGTTCCCGATACAGACAAGGGCACCACAGAGACAGCAGAGCTCAACATATCGCAAGATGTCGATTAAGATCACCACTCAAAATGTTAAGGGCCTAAACGCCCCCAAAAAGAGACGCCTGATGTTCAGGGCCCTAAAAAGGACGAACACAGACATAGCTTTCTTGCAAGAGACTCACCTCCCCAGACAGGCCACTTTTCAATTGCGAAACCATGTGTATACGAGCTCATTTGAAGCCAGGACACACGGTAAAAGGAGCGGAGTTGCCATTGTCGTCAGGCGCTCTTGCCCTCTCCAGATGTCGATCCTGGATGCTGACCCAGAGGGACGATACATTATCGCATCAGGCACCATACACTCCCACACCATTCATCTGATCAATATATATGCCCCGAATCAACCGGACGCCGGATTTTGGACTAAGTTACGAAGTAAGATTGCAGCATTGCCGCATGGCATTATCCTCATGGGCGGAGATTTTAACGCTGCCCCCCATGGAACATACTCCAGGATAGATTTTTTCCTGGTCAATGCAACAGGGTTGCCCAGACTCATGGGCTCAGAAGTGGGAACTATCTCATGGTCTGACCACGCAGACGTATCTATCACTCTCGGGAATCTAAGCACGGCGAGCCCTTGGTCATGGAGATTGAATACCTCCTTGCTCAGAGACCCGGAAGTCGTAGAAAGCATCCGAAAGGCCATAACGGACTACTTCACTGACAATACCACCCCAGAAGTGAGCATTAGCACGGTATGGGCTGCACATAAGGCTGTAATGAGAGGGAACCTGATCAAATTCGCCACGAGGAAGAAAAAAACAGAAACATCATCAATTAGAAATCCTGCTCAAACAACTACGGAACCTAGAACAGAAACACCAAGCTACCCCTGACAAAGGGATCCTCGGACGACTGGAAGCAGTTAGACGGAACATACGCTCCCTTTTACTCGACGACACAGCCCGGGCCATGACGTGGTCCAAACGGACGTATTTTGACAAGGCTAACAAAATGGATACACTCCTGGCTAGGACGCTACGGCCCAGGCAACACAGACCCCATATCACAGCCATCAAACACCCTGATGGCTCGACGAAAACGAAACCGGCCGACATAGCAAAGGTCTTCGAAGATTTCTACAAACACCTGTACAACCACACGCCGGACGGACACGCGCAGGAGGGACTAGGGGAACAAGACATCCTGCGATATCTGGACGGTCTAGGTCTCACCAAATTATCAGAGGAGGCAGCAGCAACCCTAGCTGCGGAAATCAGCGTAGAGGAGGTCGACAGGGCGATATCGAGTTTGAAAGGAAACAAGGCGCCAGGCCCAGACGGGTTCGACGGGTCATACTATAAGACCTTCCAGGAGGAACTCGCACCTCAACTGGTCGCACTCTGCAACCACTTGCGGCAGGGGGAGCGATTGGGGCCAGAGATGGCTTTGGCCACGATCGTCCTCCTCCCCAAACCGGAGAAAGACGCACTTCTTCCAGAAAACTACAGGCCTATATCTCTGATCAATCATGATTTAAAGATCTTAGCCAAGATTCAGGTGGACAGACTAAACCCGCTTCTGACTTAACTTATCCACGCAGACCAAGTAGGCTTCATTCAAGGCCGGCAATTGTTCGAAAATACCAGACGGACTATCGACTTGATCTGGAAACAGGTAGCAACTAGAACCCCATCCTTGGTTATATCTATTGTAGCCGAAAAAGCCTTCGATAGGGTAAGGTGGAAGTTCTTGTTCTCGGTTATGAAGCACCTTGGATTCCCGGACGAATACATGCAAGTTACGAAAGCAATGTATCATGATG